GTGTACGTATAAAGCATCGACAATTTCACGTTCAATTTGCTTTGATTTTGTATTATATTTACCTAACACATATTATTTCGCGTTTGATAGCGAAAATTATAAAGGAACAAGAATAGTTCGCATTAATTGTGCCCATTAAAAAGGGAAACTACCGATCATTATCGGAATCGATTTACGGATTTATAGGAAACACACAGGAGTGCATTATTATCATGCTTGGAGAGAGAGAGAGAGAAAGAGAGTCAACGAACATGAAAATTTCGACATTAAAAATCGATTTTCCTTCTAATCGTTCGAGCCTCAAATTTGGAATGGGAAGGAAAGAAGGAAAAGAAAAAAAAAAAAAATAATAAGAACGATTGTCGATAATTCAGGATACTATTAGTAATCGTTATTTAATGATAATAATTTAAGACAAAGAAAATATATCGTTCTTGTAATTTGTTTTCTTGTCCTTTTTTCTACGACAATAAATGGAACAAATTTTGTTTAATTAAATCAAAATATATCACGACGTTACTTTTCTAACGTTAAAGAAAATAAATATTTGAAATATCTGAGGGGATACACATAAATAAAAGGATAAAAATTAACGACATTCCGAAAGAAATTTCTTTTTCAATGAAAATTTGCAAATATAATTGAAGAAAAAAAGAAAACGAAATAAAAGATCCAAATTATCGGTTGACGGGATAGAGAAAAAACCATCGAAGTTATTCGAAATATTTGTCAAGCAATATTTCAAATTAACTACTACTCCCTGTCTTCTGCTCCGAATAGTTCGGCATAAAATAAAAAAAGAGTAGAAAATAGACGACGACCAAAAATATCCGCTAATCGTAAGGAACACGTAAGAAAGGAAAAAAGAAAAAAGAAAAGAAAAAAGAAAAAAAAAGAAAAAGAGAAGTAAAAAACCGAGAAGAAAATAGGACAATTTTAGAGGAAAGCGTTACGAGAACGAATATAAGGGATGAATTTTGGAAATTGACGTAAAAACAAAAGTGTAGTTTACTGTTATATAGAAAATGCTTAAAATCCTTCGTAGGTTTTCGTTTTCTACGAAAGAATGATCTATAACTAAATCAAAGAAGATCAAAAAGAAATAGAAGGAAAGGAGGGAAGAAAGAAAAAAAGTAAAAAAGGGAAACGAGGAGTAATAATAGAAGGGCAAGGGGGAGTAGAAGAAGGATAAAGAACAAAGTAAAAGAACCAATAGTTCTATTTGTATGTTCGTCGTAACCATTGCGTCGTAAAATATGCAAATAAAGGAAAAAAAACTCGCTTTGGTTAGTCGAACGAGTAAAATTCGAAACAACTGGCATGAGTTTGAGAAGTTTGGGTGTAAGGATTTGTACTAGAAAATAAGAAGAAGAAGAAGAAGAAGAAGAACAAGAGGAGGAAGAAGAAGAAAATGAAGAAGAAGAAGCAAGAAACGATGGGGTGGTGTATGGAAAAGATAAAGGTAAAGAGAGTAAAAAGAGAAAAGTTAAAAAGAGGGGGGAAAAAAGGAAATGGTAGAAGTAGATGAGGGTTTCTCGAGAGACCATAAAGCTTGGTCGCGTCCGAGTGTTTTAACGAATGCAATGCGGAAATACGGCCGCTTAATCCCGGAGAAAATGGTGACACGCAGAAATATTTCAGTAAGCGACTTTCGTGCTTTTAATCCAAGTAAGACTTTACTAAAGCTTTCTCTTTCTATTTCCTTTCTTTCTTTTTATCTCTTGCTTGCATTATATCTGCGGTAATAATTCTCCGCATAAATTTACTATTCCCCCACGACGATCTTAAATTTATCGTTCACTATAAGAAAGAGAGAGAGAGAGAGAGAGAGAGAAGGGGGAAGAGGTGGGGAAAGAGGGAATTTTTCTCTTTTCATAACGATGTAACACGTTTATCTCTCTACCTCTCTTTCTCTCTCTCTCTTTCTCTCTTTCTTATATATTTTTTATATTTTTTTTACTTTTCATATTACTCGAAGGGTAGGGACAATTTACGTGAACGGAAGGGGAGTGGTATTTAAACTCGTTGTAATTATTTGTAATTTTACGTTTTATATTTTTAAATGAATATTCCTACTATAAGTATGATGAAGTAGGAAAGTATTAAATTTTGAAAGACAAGTTGTGGATATTCGTTTTCCATTTTTTTTTTTTCTATAAGAATATATATATATATTTCTTTTAAATGAATATATTTATTTATTACTCGAAGAAAAGTATTTTAAATGTGAAATTATTTCGAACGCGAACGTGTTAAGGATTTTCGAGTAATAGGATCTAACATAAGTAAAAAAAAAAAAAAATAAAAAAAAAATAAAAACAGAAGAAGAAGAAGAAGAAGAAGAAGAAGAAGAAAACAAAAAAAAAGATGATTGGAAATTTCGCAAGCAGATTTCTTCTTTTCTTTTTACTGACACTTCCGTTGGCTTCGATTTTCGAATGACGGGTGGGTTACGAAAGTTTTCGAAATTAGAAACGAGAAGTAAATGTATTTGAAAAAGTATTAACGTTAGGATAGGCAATAATGACATAACTTTTACATTCCCCGCGTCTATTCGCAATAAAATCTAGATTCGTTCGGGCTGGTATGCACGTTGCTACGTGGCTATAATAAAATGAAGAGAAAAAAAAAAAAGAAAAAAGAGAGAGAGAGAGAGAGAGAGAGAGTAAGTTATTGGCTAATAATGCCACCGTATGGTCGAAAGAGACGCATAACACAGCAATAGTTATAGCCACATTAATTTAGTGTTTTCGTGCAAACCCAACAAACCTGTGCCTGTGCCCGTGCTTGTGCCTGTGCCTGTGCTTGTACCCGTGTGTTCGCGTTCGCGCATTTTGAAACGACGACCGAGCTCTAGGAAAAATCGTAAACTTCGTCCAAATTTAAATGTTCGTATTTTGTTGGCCATGAACAAGGCTCTCTTTCTCTCTCTCTCTCTCTCTCTCTCTCTCTCTCTCTCTCACTCTGTTTTCGGTGGTCAACACATTTTTATTATTTTCGTTTCCGCCCCACCCCGCCCTCCCCTCTCCCCGACCCAGTTGAAATTAGCGATGACGAGAGAGACTTTTTGGTTTGTTAATGGCGAAAAAGAAAGAAAGAAAGAAAGAAAGAAAAATTATAAGAATATACAAAAACTTGGAAGAAAAGCGAAAATATATAATAATAATAATAAGAAAAAGAAGAAGAAATAAACAGGCAATTATAAAGTGGCAAGATAATAATTATGGTAATAAATGGTTGTGGTTGTTGTTGTAGAGGGAATTCATGGGTTTGAGAAAAAATGACGTCTCCAGAAGAGAGTGCATGTCGATAATTTATCTATAATAAATATTTTTAATTAATAATATAAATAAATGTGAAGAATAATAATAATAAAGCGTGTGTGTACGTCAAAATGGGATGTAAGAAGTGACGAGCATTAAATAGATGCGATTATGCTGTGTGAAATAGAATTAATTGTCAAATAGAAATAGATAGAGATAGATAGATAGATAGATAGATAGATAGATAGATAGATAGATAGATAGATAGATAGATAGATAGATAGATAGATAGAAAGAAAGATAGATAGAAAGAGAGAAAGAGAGTAAGATAGAAAGAAAAACAAAACTCCAAACAAATCAACTCTATTATTATCGTTTTAATATCATACTTGTTTGATTGGCTGATTAATGAGGATGTTCAAAATCGAAATATCTAATAGAAAACGTGTTATATATTATTAATATAAGGAGCACGTTCAAAAATTGGAAGGGAAAGTATTATATAAACGGTACGTATGTAAATATGTATATAGATACAGATAATATATACAAGAGGAACGAAGAAAGATATATTAAGGTAGATAGATGGATAAAAAGAGAGAGAGAGAGAGTGAGAGAGAGAGAGAGAGAGAGAGAGAGAGAAAAGTGGTATGTTAAAATTATTGGAAATTCGCGTAGAGAACGTTCCATGATATTTTCATGTTTTTTAAAAAACATCTTTGACAGATAAATGAATCCGATGATTATGACACAATGATATAAAATCTTGAATATTAAATATGAAAGAAAAAAGAAATGAACGAATTTATCGTTTGATTCGTATAATTAGATAATAACCTGTTTTAAAATGACATAATAAATAAATTGATTGATTCTCTTTTTTTTTATTCTATTTCGTTTAATTATAACTTTATCTCTTTCTCTTCCCCCTGCCCTCTCTCTCTCTCTCTCTCTTTTTTTTCACTCGTTTTTTTCGGACGTCCACAATTGTTTGATTTGGTCATTGTGTTAATGAAAAATGATTTGGAGTACACGAAGGAAAAGGGACGAAAAAAGGTCAGTTAATTTTTGATAAACTTTGGTTTTTTGATATTATTTTGGGAAAGGTTATGGATAAAGATAGACAGGTAGATAGATAAAAAAAGTGAGAGAGAGAGAGAGAGAGAGAGAGAGAGAGAAAGAGATAGGAAAGAGAAAATTGTTGATTAAAAAAAAAAGAAATGAGGAAGATATTAAGACGCAGCTTGTCACGAGACGAGACTTAGACGAGACGTGCCCACGCGAGAATAACATACGTATACGTATTATTATTATTATTATTAAATTTATCAAACCAAAATGCTGATAATATTTAAGAAGAAGAAGAAGAAGAAGAAACGGAAAAACCAACAAACAAACAAACGAACAAACAAACGTAACGTAACGTAACCTAACGTAACGTAACGTAAAAGTTAAAATTAATAAAAAAAGGAAAAATTAATTCATTATTATATTATACATAATAATATATTCTAATAATAATGAGATAATATAAAAAGAAAGAAAGAAAGAAAGAAATAAAGAGTAAACCAAAATCAAAACCAGAAGAAAATATATCAGTCAATTTTATTACGGGTTAATTAATTTGTTTTTTTTTTTCGTTTGGCATCGTGTTAAAGAGAATTTTGTAAAAGAGCTGTTTTTTTAATTTTTTTCTTTTGTCAAGAAGAGCAAGTCGTCGGGCTCACGGGGACTTACCATTTTTTTTTTGGACAACGACTTTGGCTGCGACTTTACACGGGGGTTGCGTATGCCGAACAACAACGAAGAGTTGTTTTAAGTGGTAGTAGTAGTAGTAGTAGGTAGTAGGTAGTAGTAGTAGTAGTAGTAGTAGAAGTAGTAGTAGTAGTAGTAGTAGTAGTAGTAGTAGTAGAAGTAGTAGTAGTAGTAGTAGTAGTAGTAGTAGTAGTAGAAGTAGTAGTAGAAGTAGTAGTAGAGGTAGCATAGTGTCGTGCCGAGATAGGAGGAGTCCAAGGCCAGTGTGATTGATACAAATATAATAAAGAAGGAGAGTACGATAAACGATAGTCAAGTGCAACTTCGGGCTTGAACGGGTTATCGACGGGGGGAATTTTTTTTGGGGGGGGGGAGGGTGATACCTCTTGTAACGGGGGTTGTTCGAGTAGAAGGGTTGAAGGGGGGGGGTTAGAGGGACGGGGTCGCTACAGGAGAAAGATAAATATATATATTTTTAAGGGCTGAAGCCACGTGACTATCACGACAACAACTATATATTTGGCTTAACTATGATGAAGAAAAGAATAAAATGAAATGCAGAAAAAGAGAGAGAGAGAAAGATATGTAGTAATTAAGGCAAAAGATAATAATAATAATAATAATAATTAACAATGGCGAAATAATAGTTTACTTTATGTGTAAAGTAGGGATATATACGCGTTTAATATTTTCTGATTAATCTTTAAGTAATATTTTTTTTTTACTGATTTTATTCTCCTTTATTTTGGAAATGAAAGATCAATAAAGTGAATTGATTTAAATATAAGATTTCAATTTCACAGGCGAATGCGATCTTCCGAGATCATTTTTTTTTTTTTTTTTTAAAAACAACACAAATCAAAATAAATAATCAATGAGAAACTTGGTAATTAATTTCGCGTTGGGTTACTTTATGTAAGATAAATATAACAAAAAAGATAGAGACAGAAAGAGAGAGAGAGAGAGAGAGAGAGAGAGAGAGAGATAGAGATAGAAAGAGGGTGAGAGATAGATAGGAGTATTCGTTTGTTCGTTTAAAGGTTAACTAAATCAGCTGGATGATGAAACTGGAATCTCATCCGCCTGTGTGTGCGTTGAAGTGTACATAATTAACTTAAATTTTTGATGTACACAGATATATGTAGAGAGAGAAAGAGGGAAAATAAAAGAAACTAAACGAGAGATGGAAATATGTACACAACATACAATAGAGAAAGAAAGAAAGAGAGAGAGCGAGAGCGAGAGAGAAAGAGGAAAAAAAAATGTATGAGAGAGATAGTTGGTTGATTGATAATTTAGGTCTGGGATGGACGTGTATAAAATAAATAAATAGAAACAAATAAACAAATCAATATGGAGAGTTCAAAGTTTCGATATATGTATGAATAATATCGATGGTTTCGGTAAAGGTGATATGGTGAATTCGTCAAATGAATTTTTTCTATAGTTTTACATATACATACGTACGTAGAAATATACGTAATACTATACATTTAAAGGGTTGGAGTGACAAAGAGAGAGAAAAAGAGAAAAGAAAAAGAGAGAGAGAAAATATATATAGTATCATATGTGTACCGATAATTATGACAATAGTGATTCAATTGTATAAGTCAAAAATAGACAAAAATAATTATTTTATCGTTGATTCGATGTTATAAATAAAATAAATTGTTATTCTTTTCGAAAATTTTTTTTTTGACTTATACAATTAAAACGGTTATAATTATCAGCGTATAATAATATGAGGTTGTAGAAAAGAAAGAAGAAAGAAAAAAAAAACAACATCGATTATAAAAAAAAAAAAAAAAGTAATTGATGCAAGACCGAACGTCGATTCTTTTTTTTAAATCTCGATGCTGGTGGGGCGTGCACCCAAATTTCTTCATATCGAGATATATCGCTGCTACTTAATTTTATTATTTTATTGTGGAGATAGACATTAATAATAATAATAATAATAATAATGATATTATTCCCCATTTTTAAAATATTAGAGAATATACCTGATCTCTTCTTGGACGAAGATTATTTTGTTTTTATTGATTTGATTTTGTTTTAAATAGAAGCGATAAGAGATCGACGAATCCGCATGCGTGTAATAAAAAAATTCATCTACGGGTACGGCGATTGATATTCATCTTGTCCATTTTATTCGTCAGATATATATATTCATTGATTCATAATTTTTCTACATAATTTTCCTATTCTTTGTATATGTATATCACAAATTCGAAATAATATTCATATAGAGAGACTAATGAATATGAACAACACCGGTCCCGTAGATAAAACATGTTAATTTATATGTGTTTTATGTATACACATTTAATCAAGATAAAAAAAAATTCGTGACAAATGTACGAAAGTCAGGCTGCTTTATCAACGAACTTATATATCTTTAAAAATAGTGTATGTATATATATATATATATACTTATACGATTAATAATATTATATTTAAATGTGACGAGAAAATGAAATGATAATAGAAAAAAGATAATAGGACGTCTAGATAAAAAAATATGTGACAGAAAGAAAGAAAAAAAGAAAGAGAGATATAAAAAAGAAAAAGAGAGACAGATAGATTGAAAGAGAATAAAATGATTGATAAAGAGTGAGAGAATTATTAGAAATCACTCGTACCTTGATATGCGACATAAGATGTACCGTGAAAGAGATTGATATATAAATGGTACATACACTCGTGACAATAACAGTAAGTAATAATAATAATAATAATAATAATAATAATAATAATAATAATAATAATAATATGTGTATATAATGTATAATATATTATATATGCATGTGATAAAATGCGTGTTGTTTAATGTATCCTGTTTTACGAATGATATTTAACAAAGAAAATTAACGAGACTAATTAGAGAGATAATTAAAGATGAAAAAATTGAGAAAAAAAAAAAACGAATAAATAATAAAAAGAATATGATGTAAGAAGTAGTAATAGAAGTAGAAGTAGAAATAGAAGAAGAAGTAGAAGAAGTAGAAGAGAGAAGAAACTCGACACACCGACACTATCTAGATATGTAATATATATATATATATATATATATGTATATATGTATATATAATATAGCTTAAACAAAAATTAATGATAATCAATGAAGCATTTAATAATGTGGCGATGAAAATAATCGATTGGCGCTTCTTACCATCTGTCCGTGCAGCGGGTTCGAATGTAAAGAAAAAGATCATTCAAAATCTTTTTATTCGTCAATGGTTTCTTTTTTTTTTTGAGGGGGGTGGGGTGCAGGGCGTGTGGAAGACGGGGGAAATTGTACGTAATACGTATTATATATAATAATACTAATAATAATAGCGCGCAGATTTTGGGATAATAGTATTGCGATTATTATTTCCTTCTTTTTTTTTTTTTTTTTTGATTTTCACGTCTCGTTACTTTTTTTTCTTTTTTCTTTTCTTCTTTTGCGAAAGAATTTAATCGAAAAAATAGAAGAACATAATATCGTTATACGAGAGACAGAATTTTCGTGTCGTTATTTTTACGAGGGGTCACGGGGTAGCAACGGGGGAACGAGAGGTGGGGACTGGGGAGGGGGTGGAAAACTAGAATATGGGTAGAAAAAGAATGATGGGGCAAGATAGTAAATCGCGCGTCGAATGTATACCCATTTTTCTTTTGCCGGTGACGCGTATTATAAAAAATTGACAAAATTTACTTTGTTTTGTTTTTTTTTTCCTCTTCTTATTCGCGACGTTTTAAATCTAATAATGCGAAATTGCAAAGATCGAATGAGCTGTAAAGTATCTTTTTGTTTTTTTTTTTCTCTAACAAGAACGATAACATATAATAATATCTAGTAATAGTAATAAACATTACACGAGGGTGGGTTGAAAAGTTTTGAGCTTCGATAAAAAAAATGAAAAAAAAAAAGAAAAAAAAAAGAAAAGAAAAAACAGATACCTGAATAGTATTCATGTGAAATTTTAAAATGAAATACGAGTAACCGATTTCTACATGACGCACCCATCAATTTATCTTCTTTTTTTGAAAAAATTTGTCATTGATATAATATTTCTTTTCACAAAAAAACGCGACGATTCAAAAGAAGAAAATGGGATTGTATATATAAAAAAAAATAAAAAATAAAATAAAAATTCTTTAGACATAATGGAATAGAGAAAAGGGGTTTGGACGTGATCGCGTAAGTATTATCATTTTTCATCGTTAAAAGGATAACGCGAGCGGTGCTTGTTTTCCCCTCGACATCGTATTGCAATATCAAGGATAAACAACGAAGTAGAAAATATCCTCGCGTTTTCAAAATTTAGTAAGACAAAGTTAAATATGGTCCTTTCTTCGGTTGTGACAACGAAACGAAGTTCTCTCTCCATTTTTGTTTTTTTCTTTTTTCTCTTCGATAAATTATATTTTTTTTTTTCTTTTCTTTTCTTTTTCTCTATTACTTTTTCATATCCTTAATTTCATTTCCATACAAATTTTTTTCCGACGGATTATTTTTCTATCTTTTTTTTCTCTCTCTCTCTCTCTCTCTTTTTTTCTCTTGGAATATTTTTTCATCGTTATCAAGATACGTTATATTTAAAGAGAGAGAGAGAGAGAGAGAAACGAATTTTCACCGTTCGGTATAAGCTAACGAGTTTCTCGAGATTCTTGTAGAACGACGAAGAATAGTATTCTCCGAGGAAACTAAAAATCTTTTCTTTCCTTTTTAAACCTCCATTTTCATCAGATATTATATATATATATCCTCTATCTCTCTTTCCCTTTTGTTGTAACGAGAAATAAGAGGAAGAGAGAGAGAGAGATAGATAGATAGAGAGAGAACTAACGTGTAGCAGTGTCACGACGAAAGACGGACGGAGCAACGAACAAAGCATCGCTCGACATGTTCTGCAAAGAAGGCTTCGGAATTAAAGGTGAACTCGAATAATGAAAAGTCACAGTGGACATTACCTTCCTCGAGGCCATCATCCCCGTCGCTCATCAATTCGTCGTCCGAGCAAATGTTCAGCACGTTCACCAGCATCTCTGTGACTGCAAGCAAAAAGAACAAAAACAAGAAGAAACAAAATGCAAGGATAAGATAAGGAAAAAGATAATATATATATATATATATATCTATTCGTAAATTTATTTTCGGATAAATGTATTTGAATTTACTTTTGTTGAAAGAAAAGAAAAAGAAATAAGGAAAGTTAATTTTACCTTTTTCACCAACAAATGGTAAAGACCATGTAAAAACATCCATAAAGTTAGGTAACCAATATGGATGTGGCGAACAGTTGAATTGCCTGATATTCATTACGTTATTCTCGTATTTCAATACTGCTGCCTGAAACAAAATAATTGTTGTTTTTTTTTTCTTTTTTTATTAAGTGAAAATTTCTTTAGAATCGTTGTGATTTGAAACTGGACGAATAGAAAGGAAAAAAGTGAAACTGAAAAGAGAACGAATATTTACATCTATAGGGTCTTACACGAAAATTTAAATAAAGTCCCACCAGAAAAGTATCGCGAATTCTTAAATAAGATTACGATGAAATTCTAATGATTTTACAAGTTTTGTTTTTATTACAACACAATTGGGTATAGTAATTGTCATTAAGTATTGGGTATAATCTTGTTACCTTATTGTTGTAAACGTCGAGGTAATTAGGCGCACTAAAGATGGTGATAAGCGATGGGAAGCCCGTCGTTTGAGATTTTCGATACATACGATAACCCGCGTCCTGTGCTTCATGCGCTCTTATGATGCTCAGCAAATTATTGGTCTGCAGAAAATCGCAGCACGCCGCGTAACTGAAACACCAAACGAGAAGTTATATAAATCTGTTCAATTTTCTTCATTTTCAAGAGCCTATCGTAAACAAATAAAAATGGAAAGCAACAAAACTTTCGAGAGCTTTCGATTTAATTCGAGTCCAGTCGGAGACACGATTTAACCGAGAATATTTATCATTTATGTGACTCAACTTTTAATCTCTTTAGTTTTGTAATTTAAGTTTTAGTATTAAAAAAAAAAAAAGTTATATTAAATTAATTTATTACGTGGTATAAAGATGTTCATCATTTACGTGACACTTCTATAAACTTTCCAGTTTCGAAATCAAATTTTATTTCAAATAATATCAAATATTGTATACGTACACTAATGACATATGTTACATATTAAATAGGAGTCCTCTCTCATTATCGAATTTTTACACAATTTATTATTATTGTGAAATATTAAAAATTATATTGTGGGGTTAGGGGAAAATTCGAGAAGTGTGGCGTATCGATGTTCCTAGAATTATTGATAGACGATTTTTTTTTATAAGAGTATCCCTAAAGAAATGTTAATTCTTTATTTGTCATATATGTGATGATATGGGTATGAGTGTGTGAGAGAATTAGTAGTGTATGTTTTGTTTGTGAGGTGACACCGCTTAGACTTATCGCCATTGGGTGGTCCCACCCATAGAATTAAGAAATGCAAGGAAATGACGAGGAGACGATGGAGGGGGATATTAAGTATATATGGACGATAAAAAGGGCCGGTAGGTGCATTCCGATACAGTTCATTGCTTATACGACTAGTGTGTTGGGTGTGAAAGAAAACGAGGAAGACGGAAGACGACAAAAGGGATACGAAAGATTACTATAAGTGAGTAATACCTAACACCACGTGGCGATACATTGTGAATTTAGATTATAGATACTTATCATTCTATCTCGTTATATCATTAAATCATTATTTAAACGTTATTAATTAAATCAATTAAATTACTAATTTTTTTTCACGAATCTTACAATAGATTAAAGAATCAAGTTTATAGAAAAATGAAGAATTTATTTTTATGTACACATCGAAGAGAGAGAGAGAGAAAAAAGAAAGAAAGAAAGAAAGAAAATAGTAGTAGGGGTTGAGATGGATTAGTCAGGGTTTATATTATGTAGAAACCTTAAACTTTGTCTAAAGTTTGTGGACGTTAAGTTGAAAAATGATTTATTGTAAACGATGCAATTTACAATAGCTCTTTGAACATAAATTTACGCTCACTATCTTAGGGATTTTATCAAAAAGGGGGTGGGTTTTGGGGAGATGAAATTATTCGCTTGCGAGCTCGCGTGATTCCTTCAAACGGGTATAGTAAACGCTTGAATTCGTTTAGAGAGGACTTCGTCGACCGTAAGGTTTGCTTCGTTCGTTGTTATCAACCGTGACAAAGAGAGACAGAGCAAGTGAAGTAGATAGAGAGAAGATGAGAGGAGGAGGGAGAGAAACTGAGAAGCCGTGAAACAATTTCAACGTTGCAAAGTGGTAGTTTGAACGTTTGGACGTGAAACTTTCTAGTTGGAAGAAACTCACAGTGTGCTAACGTGCCAGGAACAGTGGTTCTCAACACACCTTTAGAATAAAATCAAGTCATCTATCTGTAACAGTTTGTCTATACCGAAAGGGAAACGATTTTAGAGTTTGCCTTGTATATGAAACTTTCCTTGTAAAAGACTAATCCTAGTAGTTCGACTAGTAAACTTCTATTGGACGAAGTTATGTAGAAAGTTACTTTCGATGATCGAAGATTGAGTAAATTTAATTAATGACAATTTTCATTGTTAATAAAAAGTAATAAATTATCTTCGTTTCTATTAGATATATTTCTATTGAAAAATAAATAATTTGATAAATGATTTCGTTGATATGGTATATTGAGTATGAAAATTTAAATAATTAAAAGAATAATAAAATAAATATATTTTTATTATGTATAGTTTATTCACAGTTTATTATTTATTCGATCCAGTATTTATGATAATATATCAGTATTTGATATAAGCGGTTAGTATTACCACCGATTAATACCGAACTTATCAGTATACATATATGATAAAATATCTGTTTGTATCGATAAATGTAATTTTATTCCTATTAAAAATTTCGAAAAATATTATTTGTCATTGAAGATTATATTTCTATATGCAGACTAATTATTTTATAAAAAAAAAAATAAAAAAAAATATTTGCCAGGTGTGGGGTTCGAACCCACGCTCCCATACGGGAACCAGAGCTTAAATCTGGCGCCTTAGACCGCTCGGCCAACCTGGCTCGATGGCAATAGTATTCTAATAATAGATGAATAGAAGTTTTTTAGTTTTCGTCATTACAACGTTCGTTGTTAATTTATTTAATAACAATAAGTAATATAATTACTATTATTTACAATTTGGGACTAATATTTATTTATAGATATTAATAAAAGTACTACGGCCTGTTAGTTTCAATAATTGCATAACTTATTACGTATAAAATTTGTTGCTTGAAACAATTGGCAATTTTTTTTAATTTTTATTTTGTGGAATTACTAGAATATCTGCATAATATGGATCAATTTATCATTTATCTGATTTTTCTTTTTATATATACGTAAATACACTAACATATCTCTATGTGCGTTATGTATATATGTTTTTCTTCGCCTACGCTTCTACATATATTACATTTATCCATCAATTATAATAGCGAATTCAATTTGTACTTCATTCGTGGAGATATCAATTACAAATGCAAATACCGACGATTTGTATTCAAGTGAGAGAAGTGTTGCCGCGGGAGATGCAATTTTCAAACGGAAACGTTATTTTGTTATGATGTCATGCCGTAGTTCGAACACGCCATGCAAATTATTTCGGCAGGGAACCTTACATGCATATAATAAATATGTGCGTGTGTGCATGATCGTTAAGTATATATGTATTTAAACATAAAACGATTTCACGATATTCTCTTTCAACGTTTATATCGTAAAATTGAGGAGACTTACTCATAATTATTTGCAAAGTGTATGTTTTTTTTTTTTACAGAATTTGTTCGTATGTCTGTCGGTAAGGTAGGAATCGCGTATACCGTCTTTTCACAATATTTTTCTTTTTTGTAATTTTTCTTTTTTCATTGTTTTTACGTTTAATCGATCTTTAGAGAAAATTTCTACTAACTAAATTATCAAAATCGATTAAGTATATGTATATTTTGATATGTTTTTAGTCGCCATAATGGCGGACGAGTGGTTTTTTTGTACGATTTTGTTTAACCCAGGAAAGAAGCGTGCGAAATATCCGAGTCGACGTAAAGCAAGCTCGTTTTACCGACCATTAGAGAAATGTGTATATGTATAGGATACATATACTCCTGTACATATACACTCTTCTTCGGACGTGGATTAATGACGTGCTTAACAATAAACCCGCGATAAAACAACGGGACGCTTGTTTGCGTTCCGTCGAGAGCAAGTTTAATGGAAACTCTTCCTTCCTGAGAGATGCTGCAAGTTTTTCCTTTTTTTATCTATTTTTTTTCTTTTTCTTTTTCTTTTTCTTTATCTTTTTCTTTTTCTTTTTTTTCCCCTCCAAGACAAATCGTCTCCACAGGTATCCCTACAATCTTAACCTTAATATGTTGCAAAAATGATTTATAATATAAAGACAATTTCTTTTTCGCATTTTCTTATTAAAGCAAAACATTTTTCCTAATTGTTTGTCAAGCTCGTTTTATATTTATTAGAATAAGAATTTTTATCGATATATTAGAGAGAAACATTCGAGACTAATTAATTATTATATTAAGATTATCTAGTACATTCAATTATTATTACTTTTCATGAATAAGTAAAATCTAACATGAGATAGAAATGAAGAAGACAAACGAAAAAAATTCCGATCCTTACCAAGCAAAAATGTATGTAAAGAAAGAGAAAAAAAAATAAAAGAGAGAAAGAGAGAGAGAGAGAGAGTATCCGAGCATAAGTTTAACCATAGTTAGCTCGCAAGGACTTTCTTTCTGCCTGATATGCGAGACAAACGACGTGGTAATTAGTCTCTTGAATGGGGGAGGAGGGGGTTTTGCCACGAAAAACGTGGATGTCAAAGAGAATTAGAAAAGAGAAAGAACATCTGCGGGAGAAAGCAAGGGAGACTTTTCTCCCGAAGACAAAAAAAAAATATGAGTCATTTGAAAAATTGTGTTCGAGTTAAATTGTAAGAAAAAAAAAAAAAAAAGAAATGAAAAAGAAAAAGAGAAAGAGAGAAAAATAGGGTATTTTTCTTTATCGATAATATTGATTTTGTTCGTACGAAATTGTTAGAAAATTCTTTCGAAATTGTATATATATATATAATATCTTGTATTCTTACCTGTAAAAGTATGAACAACCTCTGACGCTATTGTGAGAGAAGTGCTCCGCATTCTTCTCGTTGCCAAAGTCTTCTAATGGATCTGACCATAACAGATCACACATTGGACCAAACGCTGGTGGTTCTTTGAACCTGTCCAACTAAAACAATAAATTCATGGAATTGTTTAGATCAAAGAAAAGTAAACATTATTGGCTAGTTCATTATAATATTAGTGTTCGTTATTAATTTCATATCATTTACTGTAAATAATAATTAGAATTAATATATATACTTATTTTTTGTTTAATTCTGTAATAATTTAATGCAACAAAAAACAATAGAAATAAAATAAATATAATATCTGTCGTTAAAGTGAGATTATATTATTAAATAAATTTGTGCGCGAATAATTATGACGGTAAAAATAATTCACGAAAATGTTGACAGTTTATTTTATGATTTATCATGTTATATAAATAACCTTAGTGTGCATATATATTTAAATAGTTAATTGAAACAAAAGAAGATATGGTATGTATTATAATAAGCAAAGAAGATGGATTAAAATGAATGATATTCCTATGATGAATCGAAACATTAGAAGATGCTAATATTGTCTTTGTGAAAAGTAATGATTATGGTTAATGGTAATAGAGTGAGACGATAAGCATACTGACAATATAATCGTTTGATTTGTGGCTTTTATAATTAACGTTATATGCCTCGACGATTTGACTAGAGTAGATTTATAAATGTGTCGTCATTACTTTGAGAGGATTATCAAACCACAAATCCGGTTTTCAATGGCAGTCACTGTGAATAGGTTTTGGTCCATTCGAATAATCCCCAGTCGATCTCTTGCGAAAACAATACTCCATTTCAATACTTTTTATTTGAAAATGAAAAAAATTAAAAAAACAAAAGAAAAAACAAAAAGTAAGAAAGAAAATAGAATCACGTGTGTTATTACGAATCAATTATGATCCCTTATTTATTTTCTCATTTTTATTTTCGATATTTTAATAACGATGAAAATGACATTCATTTATTATTTTGATTAAAAAATTAATTTGTGTGTTCATTAAAGAATTATATTTTCTTGAATATAATAAATTTATATTTCAATATTTCAGTAAAACAATGAGAATCTAAATTATTCTAGGGAGATAGAGAAAGAAAATGAATTTATTATATTTATTACAATTTATATTATCTAAAATATGAAACTTTAAATGTCAATATTTTAGCTAACAATGAAAATGATATCTTTCTTTTGTAAAACATTTATTTATTTATTACAATTCTCTATTCGATATAATATATAACAATTTAAATGTTAATATTTAAACCCCAATGAAAATTCTATATATTTTTATTCTTGTATTAACATTTATTATTATTTATCAGATTTATACTCGCGAATATAAAATTACATTATTAGTCAGCCTGCGAAAATTATGCTTTTCGGTTAAATATATATATATACGTATATAGTCATTTAAAGTTTTACATTTTGACAGCTATGGAAAATTCTATCACTCTGGTGAGAATACAATATTTATCAAAGTTGTAATTTCGAATTTAGAATGAAAGATAGAGAGAGAGAGAGAGAGAGAGAGAGAGAGAGAGAGACAAACTATGATACTTTTCATTTGAAAACTGTTTTCTTAAGAGTTTTATCAAAGAAATGTTACAACAAAGAAACATTCATTATAAATAGCGAGATTGAAGTCTAAGGAAAACGGAGAACCTAATTATTTACTTTACGAAAAACGAAAGAGAGAGAGGGATAGAGAAAGAGAGATACTTTCAAGTTGTAGTTTTAGTTTATAAAGCATTCACGAAAGTCATCCTAGATTTATTCTGCGAGAATGTCGAGGATAGGAAAAGTTGACGAAATCGAAGGTCCGAGCGCCAAGTTTGATAAAGAAAATGGAAGAATCGTGCTTTTCATACGTGCATACAAACTTTTTGTTTCGAAATATAAAATTCAAAGAATTTTTCAAAGAGAAAAACGATGTACACATCATAAATTTCTAACGGATGATTTTAAAAATCAATTATTCTGCGTCGAAACTCACGTAACAGTTCGTATTGTTTTTCTTTTTACAATTTAAACAAAATGTTGGTTTAAAATTGTTTGGAAAAAAAAACAAACAAAGTCATTTAATTTTTATATCGTTCTATAAAGATTCTTGATCAATCCGAAAAATTTTGTATTTATACGTGTTAAATAAAATCAATTTAATGTTAAATAATATATAAATATATAATGAATACAATTTTTTGTTCGTGTTTCTTTTTAAATGAATGTAAGTTTGATCGAAAAAAAAAAAAAAAAGGAATAAAAATGATCTTTATGATATAGAAAAGCTACCAATGCAAAAATATTGGCTCTCTCTCTTATTGTTCATTTGAAAATACAAAAGGGAACAGATCCTTTAGAAAATATCGTCATTTTCGTAAGAAGAATATTGTTCTCGTAAATAGTTTGGAATTACTCTTCTTCGAGTACTTTGTTATCGTACATCTCAAATGTGTTCTCTTACGATCTCTCTCTCTCTCTCTCTCTCTCTCTCTCTTTCACTTTTTACGTCTCTCTTGTAGACAAGAAGATAATTGGAAAATGTTAGAAACCAAAGATCCGACAATACGTTTTCACCTAAAACTTCCTTCGTTTCCTGGAGAGTTTAATTTTTTCCTTTTTTTTTTTATTACTTTTCTTCTCATCTAGTTTTAAGTACATATAATTCGTGAATGTGTGTGCGTGCGTGCGTGTGTGTGATTTGTAGAAATGTAAGAATACTTTTTAAATTAAATTAAATCTCATTTTCTAGACACCCACTCATCCATCCCCCTCTAAGCACAAAGAATTATTTTAACAGACACGAAAAAATGTTAATAAAGTATTTCTCAAATTTAAAAATAAATTATATACAAAAAAATGTGCATTTCGTTTTTTTTTTCACTTAAATAAAATTTCTTACTCGTTTTATACGTATTATCAGAGATTACGAGAGAAAGAGATAATTTTTTACAATTTTAAAATACTTGAAAACAAAATTATACAAATATTTGTACGCGTATACGCTCGTCCGCAAGTGTGTGTCAGTATATAAATCATTGTACTTAAATAATTGATAATTATCGATGCTAAAGTACAAAAAAATAACATTTTCAAAATGGAATATTATTCACATCCATTAAAATTTATTTCCTTTAATTATACATTAATATTAATCTCGCGAGTAACTGTTATGAAATATGTATTTTTTTCTTCTCTTTCAAACAAATTCTAATATTCCAGGTAAATAATTATTAATAACATTATCCTCTATACATTACATTACATTCTATACGCATAATTACACACATATATTCATGTTAGAATTTCAATCGAAATAATCAGTCAAACAGTTATTTATTTGTCATCGAGAATCGGAATGAATTAAACGAGATTAGTGAGATTAGTTTGGGTCGTGGTCATGGTGCATGTCCATGAGGTAAACGCATCATGTCAATCGTTAACGTTCAAACGATCTAACGCTCTAAACAAGGGCAGGTTTGAACGTCTGACGGGTTCATATAACAATGCTATAACAATACTGGACATACCTAACGTGTTTACAACGCTTACTATACATGTTCTCTCTCTATCTATCTCTTTCTCTCTGTGCTTCGTTGTGTGCGAACGTTTGTGTGTTAGTGAGTGAGTGAGTGAGTGGGCTTCTAACGTTCTATAATTATCTTCTCTGCTGTTTGTACGGATTCAAAAGCCGAAAACGTTCTCCCCCTCCCTCCCACCCTCCCTCCCTGTCCCACTCTTTCTCAATCTATCTATCTATCTAGTTATCTATCTATCTATCTAACCATCTATTTCTCTCCCTCTAATTTCTCTTTCAACAAGAGGGATCTTCAAAGACGAGAGAATCGGGACGAAACAGCAAAGGAAAGTGCATCGGTAAGCTTTACTTTCGAACTTATGGTTTGTACCTTTGTACTTACTTACCTACCTACCTACCTACCTAACTATCTACCTAACTATCTACCACGATTATGGATACTACTACTTGCTTTTAAATCATTTGGGAAATCTTCTTCTTTTGACTTTCTATTCAAAGGGAGAATATTCCTTTCACGCATCATATTACGAATTTCTAAAACCAAAATTTATTACGGCGTCTGACATGAGCATCATAATTTTACTCTCTTGTTTATAATTATTTATAATTATTTTCAAAACGATCGATAATTAAAATAAAAAACCAGTAGAGATATGATTAATTATACTTATAGAATTTTCTTGCAATCGTGTAAATCATTTTTTTCTTCGTTGTTTTTTTTTTTTTTTATAGATATTTTTACATTTTCGATTGACTCACGTTTACATTTTTCACGTAAATATGATAGAATCATTTCCTGATCTATCGTAACCATTAATTACAACAGAACACCCTGTATATATATATATATCTTTTCCTTGAGAAAATTTCCGTGTCTTCTTTTTTTTTACTCCACGACAAGGAATGAAAGAATGAAGCGATTCCAGAAAGAATTGTTGCTTACGACAGGAGAAATCGAGAAATCGAGAAAGAGGGAGAAAAAGAAAAGAAAAGAAAAGAAGGAAGGTGGTGGTGGTGGTACACGTTTTATGGAAAATCGATAGAAATAGCACTTTTTGAAAAGCTTTACCCGATAACTTTTATACTGCGAGTCGATCAAGAATTTATGACAAAGAGCGAAAAAGAAGAGAGAGGAGGGTTGGGGGGACGGGAGGGAGAAAGTTAGAAAAAAAAAAAAAAGGTAAGGGTAGCACGTTTTCATAGACCCGTTGAAAAAGCCTCATCCACCAATAAGTTTTTCGAATAAAACGGGGAATATCGGTCTATCAAGGGGACCCCCCATAAAATAACTTATGTGGGTCAACATACTTAGTTGCTCTATGACGACAGGGTATAGGAAATAACGACGAGAAAACCTTATGCTTTTTTTTCTCTTCTTAATTCTTTTATTATTATTATTATTATTATTATTATTATTATTATTATTATTATTATTATTATTATTATTATTATTATTATTATAAATCAAAGTAATATTATATCTCCAAAGATCGTAACGTTCATTTGTTCGAATTAAACGGAGAAAGGAGTTACAA